GAGCAAGATATTACCTTGCAGCAGAGGGATTTAGATAGACTGGGGGACTGGGCACTCAACTGGCAGATGAAATGTAATGTTGAGAAATGCAAACTTTAGCATGTCAGCGTAAAGAATACACAAGCAACGTATACCCTTAATGGAAGCAAATTAGGGATAAAAACACATGAAAAGGACTTGGGAATTGTTATAGACAACAAACTATGCAATGTCAATCAGCAGTGGCTAAGGCCAGTAAGGTATTGTCATGCATGTAAAAGGGCATTCATTCTCGGGATGAGAATATCATTTTGCCTCTTTATATATCACTGGTTAGACCACATCTTTAATATGCTGTGCAATTTTGGGCACATGTTCTAAAGAAGGATATTAGGGCACTAGAAAAAGTGCAGAGGTGGGCTACAAAATTAATAAAAGGAATGGAACATATCAGCTATGAAGAAAGGTTAACAAATTTAAACCTCTTTAGTTTAGAAAAACGTCGCCTGAGAGGGGATATGATAACATTGTACAAATATATTTGGGGCCAATACAAACCATTGTGTGGAAATCTATTCACAAACCAGACTTTACATAGGACACGAGGTCATGCATTTAGACTGGAAAAAAGAAGATTTCGTCTAAGGCAAAGAAAAGTTTTTTTTACTGTACGAACAATAAGGATGTGGAATTCTCTGCCTGAAGAAGTGGTTTTATCAGAGTCCATACAGATGTTCAAACAGCAACTAGATGCATATTTGCAAAAACAGAATATTCAAGAATATAATTTTTCAATGTAGGGTAATAGCTGCTTGATCCAAGGGTTAAATATGACTGCCATTATGGGGTCAAGAAGGATTTTTTTCCCTAGTTTGTTGCAAAATTGGAAGTGCTTCAAACTGGATTTTTTTTGCCTTCTTTTGTATCAACAGAAAAAAACAAATGTGAGGAAGGCTGAACTTGATGGACGCAAGTCTCTTTTCAGCTAACTATGTAACTATTTAACCAAGGTTTTAAAAAATCAACAAATGGTGTTCAGATAGGTTTGTCCATAAAATCTCTGATGAAGCAGATGATAGAATGAAAAAAGGACTGTTACAGGATAGAAAATTCATGAATGCAAACTTTTGTGCTTGCAGGTTCTTTTCCCTACAAGCATTAATTCAGTGGTCATCTTTGCTTGATCAATTACTTGAGAACCATGAAGTGGAGTGTTAATAAATATACCGTAGCATATACTAGAAATGTATGATATTTTAAATGTTTAATTTCTGCTTAAACAATGCAATTATGGATAAAATATATAATGATAAAATGTTGTTTTTTTTTTTTTTTTAAATCACAGGTATTTTGCCTTATGTGATACAGTGAACATGCTTGCTGCCTATGGAATGTACCGGCCAAATCTTGAGGAAATTCTTCAATGGAAAGTCGACATCATTCAGAAAATATTTTTGACCAATGATCCCCATCCAAAGCTGCGAGTATGTAAAGAAACATTTATATATGACTGCTTGATGACTTCTGGCCAACACCAATATTAGTGGAGAAGTATTATAAATTATGGAAACATAGTAAACGTAAAAAAAAAAAAAGTACATTTTTAAAGAAGCCCCATTTTAAATACTCTGGGTACAGTGTCCGCAGTCTCTCTTACCCAATTATCACATGGTGTAAAGCTTAAATAAGAAACATGACTTCCTGTGTGAAACTTATTTCTGATTAGCTTATCATGACCTCCATTAAGTACTATAGCTTTACACTTTTGAGAAAAAAAAAAACCTTTGCCATGTAAATCATAGGCACCTGTCAGATTTCTAAGGTTTAAGTAACCAGTGTGACACCTACCTGAGTTTAATAAGTATTAGACCAATCTATATGACTGTATGGGGTCTGAGGAATTATGAATGACCAGCTTTGAAGAAACAAGGTCCAAGAAGCAGTGTAGAACCATTTATTTTCCTCTTTTTTCATTCTATTTTTTTTCTTTCCTCAAACTTTGAATTGAGTTTGAATGTAGGGATGATAACTCTTATTTTATGATATGAACAAGGATCTGTGATGTCATAATCCAACTCTCTCTCCCCTGATACCTTTGGTGTTGCAGAATGCCTCCTTGCACAGCACTGAGTCAGTCTGTCTCTTTTTGCTAGGTGAACATCTTAAAGTCACATCGTAATCAGATTGTGGAAGCGGCTGCTCGGGGCATTTTTGAACGCTCACTGTTCTACAAGACTGTTCTTGCCATACTGCCTCACCTAATATACTTCTGGAGGAGGCAATATAATTTATTTTTATTAATAACTCAACACTAAATAATAATCTTGTATTTTAAAAAAATATATTATAAAGTACATTGTTAAATGTTCACTGATCTTTGTGTGTTTTCAGGTTTTCTAATAAGAAGGCAATGAAGGGCTTCATTATGAAAAGTAAAGAGAACAAGGAGAGTGATCTAGAACCACCTAGGCCCTTTGGTCAGTCTTGTGAAGAACAGATTCCTTGTTTGAAAATTAATACAATTTGAATAAAATAGTGGGTAATTCACAAAACTAGTACTAGTGTGGAACTGACAGAGGAACTAAAAAGTTTAGGGAAAATTTGCAAAACTAAAATAAATCCCCAGCCTATTTTGCCCTTAACATTAAAATTCTGTTATATTTATACAAGTACTATTTAGTGAATTACAATTTTTAGACGTTATATATGTTCAATTTTAGTCTAAAATCCATCATGAATAAATTTTTTTATCTGAGCTAAAAACAAGCTATTCAACATATATTCTCTAGTGCAATTTAACCTGTTTTTCTATTTATTTTTTCAATTTATGAACAGTTGTTTGCTTTTAAAGTAGGTAATTCCAGTTTAAATTGTGGTGCTATCCGCTTAAAAGGTTTAAATTTTTTTAATTTTTTTAAAAACAACATAATGAAGTGTGCAGAATATTCTTTGTGTTGGCCATCAGAGGGTGCTCTTGTTTCAATGCTACATGTGCTCATACAATACTGTCCTAGGGTGAATAAACATAGCCTTTATATATTTTTTTTCCTTCTTCATGTTTGTATTTTTTATTGACTAGTGTTGCCATATTCACCATGTTTTCCTGGACAAAAATACATTCATTGCGTTAACTGTCCACACATGACAATGCTGCCTTGTAGAACTTAGAATTTATATGCTGTAGGATTCCTGACTGATTTTTCTTGGGATTTACTACCAGCAGCAATTGACTTCACAGGGATTTAGGCAGGCTAAATTATATCCTAATGGGTGGTGAAAGGGGCAAGACATTCATGGTTCTAGGGTCCCTGTCCAACCCCTGGACCCTAAGTTTGTGTCACGATTGGTAGGGAACCTAACACACAGACAGGTCACAACAGACAGAAATGCAATACCGGTCCTTAGAATGGCTATGCCAAAGAATAGTCAAAGCAAGCCAAGGTCAAAGGGAAATAGAGAGACGGAATACAAAGGGACAAGCCGAAGGTCAGGGAGCAGAGAAAACAGAGTAAAGGTAAGACAAGCCAAAGTTCTTTAACCAAATAATCAGACAGAGTATAACACGCTATTGGGCTAAACAAAGACCACAACAGGGCACTGAGGCAAGGGGGGAGGTTAGCTTATATACACACAGGGTGTGTCTGATTGGCTAACCTCCAGGTCATCACTGGGTGCCGGGTCACATGACCGGCTCCGGCACACATATATGGATGCTGCTCTTGAGCGTGCAGCGTCAGAAACACTGTCACTGTGGAGCACGGCGGCGGGGACAGCCACACGCTGCGGACAGGGACCAGATGGCGCCGCATGCGCTCGCGGCAATGAGGTAAGCAGGCCCGCCGCGAGTGACGCGAAGACATGGGACCTGACAGTTTGTACCTAATGTCACCTTAATTTTGCTCTGGATAAGTGGATGGATGTATACAGCGCTGTGGAATTTGTTGGCGCTTTATAAATATTAATAATAATAATATGCTGGTTGTAATAAACATGTTACCCTCTTAATTATGGGTGCATCTACAGTGGTCTTTATTGTGGCCCCCCGATCACTGATTTGCGTAGCCCAAATCTACTGGGGCCTGCACAATGGATTTTATATGTTTCACATTTGTTTTTCTAAAAAAAGGCAAACAAGCTGTTAAAGATTTTGCCACAGTAGTTTTTTGTTTCTTCCATGAACTTTGCACCTAAAAAATTAAAAGTTCTCGTTATTTCTATAATTATCCAGATATAGAGCTAACCCAAATTAACAGAAAATGTGTATTAGGAGTCTTTTGAGAGAGAGGAAGGGTTATATGGACATATTTTATACTGTCTGAGCTCACCTGTCACACACTGTGCACCTACCTATATTTGCAATATGCTTAAAGTTACATAGTACATGGCTTTTTAATGGATATTCACTCTTATATGTGCACAGTACACTGTCCTACCCTGAGATTTTCCATGTCTGAAGGAACCAAGCTTATATTACCACAAGAAATCCCCAAAGTGACAAAAGGTAAGGAGACAACTGACTATGACTTTACGCAGGCAAAATAAAATCAACATGCCAAACGCCAGAACTCAAATATAGACTTTCTATTCTTACCAGGATCTGCTTCCATGGAAACGGCAGACTTTGTTTTCCAGTCGTCTTCCAGGCTCCTGCTGACTACACAGTGATCGTAGGTTGAAAGGTGGATGACGGATACAGCAGTTTGATTTGTGGGGAAGTTCTACAGCAACAGAGGCAGAGCTAGTAATAGAAACACCATCAATAAATGAGGTTATTAACACCTGCTTTGCCAAAGATCTATTTCATGCCTTGAGTTGGGCCAGAAACATATAAAAGATATGGCTCGATGCCTGTTTATACCAATAATAAAATGTTTAATAAATATTAGGTATACTAAGTATATTTACAAGCCACAAGCGGGTGACAAATATAATATATATATATATATTGCAAAGTAGATGGCTGCACTCACGGTCTTTCAGTAAAAATTAACTTTTATTCCAAATTCGTTAAAAACAGGATCATCGTTTCAGTCCCCCATAAGGACTTTCTTCAGGATCATCAGTTTATCCTGAAGAAAGCCCCTAAGGGAGACTGAAACATTGATCCTGTTTTTAACGAATTTGGAATAAAAGTTAATTTTTACTGAAAGACCGTGAGTGCAGCCATCTACTTTTCATTTTGGATATTGGAGCCCTGATAGTGCCTCGGGCCACGTAGTTTTGCAGCCTGAGTGCAAGGTATTGTAGCATATATATATATATATATAACATTAGCGGGTGCCACTCCAAGGTGAATAAAGACAAGCAGAGATGGATTAAGAACCCATATAGTTGCTTTATTTTTTAACATAGAGATGGTGAATGGGGCAAAGCAAATTCATGGTTTCAGGGCCCCTGTCTACGATTTGTAGGCCCATGACATTATGAATTCAGGCAACAGAGAACGTGACTATGGTAAGCAGATCTTTTTCTCTTTCTCAAAGCAGCAATATAGGGAACAGATTCGATGGAAAAATCTCCAAATCAGATAATGTGGCAGTTTTTTACATCTCCGTTATTTTAATCTACATTTTGGCAGATGTTTGAGAACTCATCACAGTACACTATTTAGTGAGTAGGCAGTTTCGTGTTCCAGCTATTAAGATAACAACTCTAGCTAAATTTGTGTTTTCACAAGATTCTGAATAATGCATTGTGGAGGCCAACACTTTGAGACACAAAACATTTGCAACTACAAACCAATAAATGTTGCCAAAATTCTCCTGGAAATATCTGGTTTGAACCCAAGGCCACCATATCGACTCTAGACAATGTTTACATAGTCATTTGTACTGCAGCTTTCATAATAAAATCAGTATTTACTACCTGATCTCCCACGTATCTTATCTTATGAGAAGAAAAACAGCATTTTCCACATCAGGAATTCTACAGCTGAACTGAGAAAATTAAATGGTCCGAAAAAGAAAATTTGCAACGTATCTAGCATGGACAGAGTGGAAAGCTACTGTGCAGAATCAGTGGAATAATACGGCTGGCCATGGATGGGCTCTGTGGAATAATACTGCAGACTGTGGGTGGGCTTACTGGAATAATACTGCCGACTATTGATTACGGCAGTGGATATAATGTAAACCCCATTAGGAATGGGGTATTACTCCATTAACCCTGTCACATCTGCAGAGTTTCACTGCAGTAACCAAATCAAGCTCTTCCGCAGTGGAGGCTAACTGGCTGTGCTGATATGATTTACAAAAATCTAGCTTAAAGGGTATTAATCCATTTAAATGTTAAGTGGATTATATCATTTAAAAAAATAAACCTTGTCAAAATCTAGTTCTATTTTTAGTCGATTTGTTTTTATTTATTTTTTTATTTAAAGAATTCAGAGTATTATGGTAAACTCTGAGTGTTTCTAAACTACTGCAAATAAATGTTTTCCCCACTTCAAACCTGCTGGGGCGCTGCCACAAGTGCCCCTGTGGACAAGCCTCCACTGGGGTACTGTACAGTGTTGATAAAAAAAAACATAAGTAAAAATATATTAAATATATAATCAAAAATCTCAATTTTTTTAATGTCATTTCATCATATCCAGTACAACTGGCTGCTATGCGGGATTACTAAATACATCTTTCTTAATTCTCCATTTTGTTGGGCAGAATGTTAAAGTGCTAACAGGCAGTAGTGTGAAAACAATTCCATATAATAGTTCTTTTGGGATCTATTGCGGAATTAGTTAATTGACTTCCAGTGAGAATGTGAATCTATTAATAGTTAGTATGTGAGAATATGTCTGTGAACTTGTAAATGTGCTGTTGGAATGCAATGTTAATTTAATTGGGATGTTAATAAATAATAAATAAATAAATCATGAACTGTTCTGTAGTTCACGCTTTGAAATTTTTTTTGTGATTCTATTTTTTGGGGGGGCGAGTCTGCATGAAGTAACGCAAGGAAAAGCACATTCTATAATCCATAATAATTTAAACCCTCACATTTCTTCACATGGTAATTAGCAAAATTATTTAGCACATTTGCTTAATTTTTTTAACTATTTTTTTTGTAAATGTGGCTCCATTAGACCTCATTAAAGCCAGGGGTGACCCCGATGTGTGGCCCTACCTATCACATCCACTGGCCCTTAAAAGGCCATTAAGTCCCCTAGCCTTTGAACCTGAAAAGGTTTAACCACAGAAAGGCTACTTTTTAAATATATACAGTGGGTCAGAAGGTGCTCAGTCTTTTAGCTCATTAATTTCTCCCCAAAAGGGAAGGAGTACTGGCGGCCATTTTACTATGCCAGGAGAGTGACTAGTCAGCCACCACCTAGCACAGCACTGCCACTCCTGGGTCCTTGTCATTTAGTGCCAAGCAGCCATTAGCATAATCCACTGCCTGGCACCGATTGTCAGCTGCTGGGTGCACAGCGTTACTGCTATGTAGACACACCTTCCAAGCAATAACCAAAGCTTGTTTCAGAAAAGGGATGCGGGGACTGGTATCTTGGCTGCCCCTTGCCTGTTACCCAAAGTCCTCCAAGCAGAGCAAGAAGGAGCCTATGCATCTTAGACAGTTATGCTCCAACAGGATCGTTGTTTTGTGTGTATGTAAATAATTGTGACTATATAAAAGCTGGTGTGACAGTGTGTAGGTGACATTGTGTGTCAGTGGCTGAGTGTTTGTGTAAGTTACATTGTGTGTATGTCTGTCAGTGTGAGTGTATGTGAAGTTTGTCAGATTGAATGTGATTATAAATAACACTGTTTGTGAATGTTAGTAAGTGTGAGGTTCACTTAACCATAACTCATCCCCTTCTCCCCATGCACTGAACACACCATTTACCATAGTGATAAATGATGTATTCATTTTAAAATATTTATATATAAACTTACCTCACCGCAAGCACCACCATGTCCCCAACTTTGTGGGTGTTTACACTTCTATAACACCCACGTCCTCTCCACCCACAGCTTCACGACTGCTTGGGGACACTTGGTAGGTCCGGTCCTAATCAGCACTAGTCCTATTGGCTAGGGAGTAACCATAGCAACCACAGCTCATGCACTGTGCTTGCTATGCCTGAGAGTAGGAATAATTTTCTTATTTTCTGTAATTCAGTTCTTCAGCACAGGAGCCTATACCATAGAGTCGATTGACAGTTGAGAGAGAGACCTCTTATTAAATAGGTTTTTCTTACAATCTGTATGTTTTGCGCTATCAATCCTGCTAGCACAATGAAGAGAAAGAGGTTTTAATTGATGTGATTCTAAACTCGATAGATATGTATGCATGTGTATTAATGTGTGTATTAGTAATATATATTATGATGCCTATAATATTTACACATATATTACTATACATGTATATATGCATAATACACTCAGAGATGTCATTAACATATAACATCTGTGTAATGAGCATTTAGTGGCCTATTCTTGCGGCTAGCTGCACACTCCAGCACAATATCATATACACAGTGAAGAGTGTACACATTTCAAAATAAACAAGACAGCTTCACTTTTTACAGCCATCCAACAACAAGCAGTCACCATTTCAGTCCAATAACCAAACTTCAGCCATTAAGCTGGCTAAGTGTCTTTAGATTCATAATGTACTTAATCTGTAGTGTTACAGGTAAAGCATAAAAATATATTAAGTAATATTATTTTATTGATAGAATCTGAGTATTAGCACATTAAGTGGGGAAAGTCCAAAAGGTTAAGTGCAAAGTTTATGGAGAGGGGCAAAATCAAATTACAGGGACGAGGCCTGGCACCTCACCATCTGAAAACTACACCAGCAGCCTCTGATTAGCTTGCTTTAATTTTATGAAGAGTGTAGATTTCAACAGAAATTGGCACCTGCCTTGCAAAGTTTTATCATTGAATTGCACTGGAAAATCTGTGATTGGACAACCTCAGAAAGTCTGGGCTGGAAAAGAAGGGGAGGACTTTGAAAGGCTTCAGACATAAGATTTGCAGCTTTTGCAAACTGTTTTTCGATATACCACCAATGAAAAAAGTGCTTAATTATAATAATTGTTTTATTATTAATATTATTTTATTATTTATATAGCGCCATCAAATTCCGTAGTGCTGTACAATGAGTGGACTAACAGACACGGAATTGAAATTAGACAAGGTGAAGTACAGGAACAGAGGGGTTGGGGGCCATACTCAATGGGCTTACATGCTAGAGGGAGTGGGGTAAAGTGACACACAGGGTAAAAGTATAGGTGTGAAGTAGGTTGTTGGAAAAGTATACACTGAGGGCTTAGTAGGCAATTTTGACATTTTCATTGTATATCTAGTAAACAATACGTTTCATATTTCTTCTATTTATTTTGGCGAAGTGTCTCATTAAATCTATGTGTGCCTGAAAGTATATTTGTCATTCAAATTACTTGTGAATGAGATATCTCATTTAATAAGTTACTTTTGACCTTTTGCGCTTTTACCTTTTGCCTGTTATTGCTACAAAATGCCACTGGAGGGAGATAGATGTAAGTATCTGTAATGTTGAATTCCATAAGGAATAATGCACTTCCCATTTTATGATTCTGAACGAAGCTCAACCAGCTTGACACTCCACATATTAAAAAACCACTGATTTCAAGAAATTTTTACTGGTGATTTTTAAATTACATTTTCTGTAACCCCTTAAAACAGCAACCCAAATTCCATAATCACAACAGCAAATTGTAATTGTTATAGTGCTAGGAGTCCTCTGGTCTGCTGTGCCCCCATTGTACATAGTCAAACTATTTTATAATAGTTTAACTTCTTATCAGGGGTTTACAGGGTTCTGTTAAAGGGACACTATAGTCACCCAGACCTCTTCAGCTCAATGAAGTGGTCTGGGTGCCAGGTACCCCAGGTTTTAACCCTTCAGATGTAAACATAGCAGTTTCAGAGAAACTACTATATTTACATTGCAGGGTTAATCCAGCCTCTAGTGGCTGTCTTCCTGACAGCCGCTAGAGGCATTTCAGCTTGCAGAAGGTCCATAGGAAAGCATTGAGAAATGCTTTCCTATGGACCGTTTGAATGCGCGCGTGGTCTTGCTGCGCATGCACATTCCACTCCACTCGGGAGCTGACGTCAGCAGGGGAGGAGAGGTCACCGGCGCTGGATTAAAGTAAATAACTGAAGGGGTTTTAACGCCTTCAGCGCCAAGGGAAGGGGGGATCCTAAGGAGTATATAGTGTCAGGAAAACAAGTTTGTTTTCCTGATGCTATAGTGATCCTTTAACATTTTTAAAGTGAATCTAACAGCTAAAAATACTTAACACATTAATTAACACAATGAACACATTGATTAACACCAAAAACAGATCCCTCATAAAGTTCACAATCTCAAAAAAGTAAGCATGATTCGGCAGGGTAAATTGTCATATCCAACAGCAAGAGTCAGTGGCGTCAGAACCTAAGAACATAATGGAAGAAAAACGAAGAAGAACACCTCAATCCACTTAAATGGTAAAAAGCAACCAGGATAAAGCTGACTGCTGAGCCTGTAATATATTACATTACTTGAAAGCAGACTCTATTAAGTAGACTCTTTCAAGTAGGAGTTAGAAAACCAGGAGTTACTTGGAGTGGTTTGTATACTGTGGAGAGTGGTTTGTATACTGTGGAGAGTGGTTTGTATTTTATTTTTGTTTAATCTTTAAAATTGGTAAGGTTTAAAAAAAAAAAAAGTTTTTGTTTTTTAAATTTTCTTTTTTTTTTCTGTGTTCTGGTTTCCCCCCCTTTTTTGTGCTGCTGCTTGATTGATTGGGGGAGTGTTCATTAATTGCACCTGTGTGGGATTGTATCCCCATAAAGGCACACCCCTAACTGATCAGGCTCACATTACTTGAAAGCAGACTCTATTAAGTAGACTCTTTCAAGTAGGAGTTAGAAAACCAGGAGTTACTTGGAGTGGTTTGTATTTTATTTTTGTTTAATCTTTAAAATTGGTAAGGTTTAAAAAGAGTGGACTTAACCCTGCAATGGAAACATTGCCATTCCTAAAAACTACAATGTTTTACATTGCAAGGTTAATAATAATAGACCACTACATTGAGATGAGCTGGTCTGGGTGACATAAGTGGTCCTTTAAGCAGGGATGTATTTACTACAAGACAAACAAGGCATTTGCCTAGGGCGGCACTTTCAGGGGAGTGCCAAAAAACACCACCCCAAGCTCCCAAACAAATGCCTTGTTTGCCTCATGTCCTGGGGCTGTCTTTCTTAGGGCCCCCTCCGTCCCCAAGGTGTTAAACTACTAATATTCTAGCCAGGCAGCAAGGAAGCGCTGTCCTCCACTCTTCTTGCTCTCTCATGCTCTGTGAATCTGTGAGTGAGTGTAGCTGTCAGTGCATGTGTAGCTGTCAGTGTGTGTCTGTGAGTGAGTGAAAGTGTGTGTCTGTCAGGCACGTGTGTCTGTCACACAAGTGTCAGAGTGTGTCAAATCAGTGAGGATGGGTATGTCTGTGAGTGTGTGTCAGTGTGTGTCTGTCAGTGAAAGTGTGTGTTGGTTAAACTGTGTGTGTGCCAATGACTGTGTATCTGTAATTGAGTGTATGTCAGTGCATGTATCAATGAGGGCCTGTGTCTGTCAGTCAAAAAAGTTGCCTTGACACGAATTGGGGGGGGGGGCAAATTAAGATTTGGGGGTTGCCCAAATTTAGTTGTGCCTAGGGCAGCACAAATCCAAAATACACCACTGCCTTTAAATCAATTTTCTTACAACAACACACCAGGAAACATTGTGTCCATTCTGCCTTTCTATAACAATAATGCATTATGTGTGTAGTGTAATAAATAATAAGATAATTACATATGTGTCAAAACCAGGCCCAATGTACCCAGAAACAGGGTAGATTAAAGGAACACTCCAGGCACCATATCAACATCATCTAAATAAAGTTGTTAGGGTGCCAGGAGGCCTCCGGGTGCATTCTTACCTCAAGGGGTTAAACCATTGTCGAACGGTTTAACCCTAGAGTTGCCTCCAACGCCTCCAACGCCAATCTCTATTTCCCCCAGGCAGCATCCGGCTTCTGAAATTTCAGTTTCAAGAAGAAGGGAGTGCTACTGGGCAGGGGCACCGCTGACTGGCTGGTAGCCAATCAGTTACTCCCCATTTACAAAAATGGCTTGAAAAGAAACATACCTTTTTCAATCCAGTTTTGTGAATGGGAAGTCACAGATTGGTTAAAGGTGCCTAAACTGTCAAAGAGCCTATTGAGCTTGATTACAGAATTTTATCGACAGAAAACATTAAAACAGTCATACCTCCCAAGTATCATGTATCTGATGCAGGTGTTGCTGGAGGGAAACTCACAAGATGCATTTAAAAGAGAAACATACCCTATGCTAATCTGTCACTTTCATCTGCCAACAAAATCTATTCCTCTCAATTATAGCGTTCTGTGAAATGTGACGTCAGTGTGTTGGGTAAAGGAAGATAGGTCAGAGACATGAACCATATCACTGGCACTGTCCAAAGGGACAGACTTGCCCTTGCCTGGAAAGGTGGCGGGCCTAAAGCACTGGTAGGCCATCTTAGCACGAATGCACGCCAAACTGCCTGCCAGTCATTCAGGCTAGTGAACTAAGTTATGCACATAGAACACTGAGCTTGGCCTGAACACATCTAATGATACTTTCGTGTGACGCTTTATGGGGACAGTTCTCTGGTGTCACACAGCACTCACTTGTCCAATATTCTCCTTTCCTTGTTACTAGCAGACAGAAGCTCCTACTATGCAATCTGGGTCAAAGAAAAAGGTGGATTTAGTGAGTTTAGAAGAAAGTGGACATGCCACACTGTAGCGAGTCAGAAGGAGAAAGGTCATTTGCACAATTAGCTGTATGTTAACTATTTTACAGTCAGCCAGTCCACACGCGTTTTGTCCCCTGCATCCCTCCTAAAGCCCATACAAAAAAGCAAGAGTATGTGAAAAAATAAATGTAAAAATCTATGTATTTTCCATTAACTTCTATGTTATTCAGGTCCTGCCCAGAAAGTAAATTTTGTTAAGCAAATAAAAAAAATAAAAGGAATGCAAATACAATGTGACAATATTTATTTTTGTTTGTTTGAATCGTCTCGCCAGTTGAGGGGTCTGGGAACAGTGAAATCCGTCTTGTGATATTCATAAAACAGGTTGTCAAGCTCTAATTTTCTCCATCCAAACTTCTGCTTGGAACTGGAGTTTCTGGCTTGGAATCATGGAAAATTTATCACAGGTGCCTGGCAATACCTGTTCTGCAGCCCATGGCAACGTCTCAGATTATGTAACAGCACGTTGTTATTCACAGCAGCATTGCAGAGGTTTTATAACACATCGTTCTCATTAAAATTACACTTTATTACATGAAAAACACAAACGCAGCAGGAGTTCTTTATTTTTTTATCTTTATTATACATTAACATATTTTATAACTATTATGTATTTTCCAGAAATACAACCGTTGATATCACCATAGCTTTACTTGGTAATCAACCTCCAAAATTTGTAATTTTTTCAAGTTATTGTAGTATCTTAACAGCTCAAATAAATATAATTATATTAAATAAATGCACCAGCATACACACAACTGCCTACACTTGTAGGACATCACTGTAAAGGTAATATAAATAGGCTTTAAATGCTCTCTGCACATTGACCAGTCGTATAAACCGAGCTTAACTTGAAAAATTACAAGAAACGTGACATAGAGGTCATTGTGGTCAAATACTGGTAACGTAATAACAAGTGGTATAACCGAAAATAAATGACCCCCAGTACACTGTTTAAATACCCCTTCTGCATTCTTAGATTTCTAAATATGAGATATGAATTGGAAGATTTATTCTCATTTGAAGGAAAGATTGCATCTTGTAAGGTTTTTTTTTATTGTCTGCTCTGTTTCCCAAAATGTACCCACTTCTATCAGAATACGTAATAATCAACTAAACCTCACTGAGTCACCACGAAATCAGGGATTTTCTTGTTGTGTTGTATGGGAAAGCTCAAAGTATCTAAGTTACATATTTACCCCCTAGGGCTTGTGATTTGCCTTAAGCACTTCTCGTAATATCACAAAATCTGCTATTTTTAAGTAGGACAATACCACCAATTTGAAAGCAGTAGTAAAAATCCAAAATTCAGGATTAAATAAAATAAACAGCACTGGTATAGAAAGAAACACAAACATATTGATAAAATAACATAACTGTTTTAGGCTGACAGATGATATCTAAATGCCTGTCGTCTGTTTGGAACGACGTCTGATAGTCTGTTGCCACACTCCTATTAGTGTGTTGATATTTAGAAATTGTTTGTATTAATTACCAAGGATTAAAACTCATCAGACTGGCACTGTGCGTCCTCCCACTTCATTACAATCCAAAGAGCTTTAATCTCCATTTCTTCTCTGTTCTCCTGTATTTAAAGTCCATGTTGATGATGGTAAATAATTAGACTTCACGAGTGTGTCAGTTTCTGGTCTAACACACAGTGAGGGGTGACAATGGGCCCCCAATTCTGTGGAATCCTCCTCTGAGGTCTTCAATTGTGCTACCTACTAATCTCTTCTGCTCAGTATTCATCTGAAGGACAGCTTCAATTTTCTTACAGAGGGTTTATGCAACAGTTCCTTGTAGAGAGGGGATTTAATAAAACGAGGATATGAGTCTTTTTCCATCAGAACTCGAGTATGTTCTTGGGCTGCATCAAAACAGTTTTTAGACGCAATGGCCATTTGTTGGAGCGTGAACTCTCTTGTATGGTGATCAATATTGACCTGTAATGACAGAAAAGAAAATCAGCGTGTTAAAACAAAGGTCATATTATGAATTACCTTCTATTGTCTGTTTTTATATTAACAGCAACAACTTGAATATTTATTAGCCCAAAACATATTTTCTGGGCATTATCCCCACTATTAATGTCAATCATCCATCAATGATAGCTGGTGTCACAGGTATATATTTTTTATAGATTCCTATGGCAGTTATAGATACATCTACAAGAAGGTCTTATTTTATCAAGACCTGTTTTTTTTATCCTTGCTTAAGCATGTACATGCACGTAAAGACAAAGATAAAGTGGTAGCGTCACAACCCCTACAAAGTGACGTTTTCGAGAGTTTTGGGCAGATATTGCGGTGGCATTACTTTATGCTGACTGTCCTCCCACTTTGTGATTTGTTTCTCCTTCAGCATATCACCTATTTGTATTTACATAAAATTATGAAAAAAACATACATGGGATAGATCCTATTTAATAATTTAAATAAAGTGAAAAGACACGAGTCATTTGTAAAAGTTAGAACTTGAAAATGTGATTCCTGAAAAGGTGATTATTTGTATGGATTGACCTAGAAGAGAGGTAGATGTTCCTCACCTCTCGTGGTGCTCCACTCTGAAGGAATTCCTGATATATGGTTTGGGCTCTGGTTCTGAGCTTATTATCCAAATGAATCTTTCTGTACTCTTCACAGGCCATCCAGAATTCAAGGTTCTCCTCGCTGAATTCTGTTTTCAAGAATTTGCTGAATGCTAGAAGACCATCTGTAGACCAGATACAAAAAAAAGTCAGGATAGATAATATATCATTTTCTTTGCTATGTGGTTTAATCCTTTTCAGTGCTTTTTTTATATTCTGCAGGGTTTTTTTCCATCTATGCTTTAAACCCTTTATTATTTGTTTGACATGACTTAATAAATCTAACTGCGCTGCTTGACATTATTGGCTCTCGTCCCAGTATCTTTTCTCTTTTTCTCTAAATATAGCTTCCATCTCCACAGCAACATTCAATTATTCTGCCCAGTGATTAGAACCAGAAATATTTCTTACCTTTGCTACTGAGCAGCTGGCTGAACGAATCTGTTATTCTCATTGCTTCTTTTTTGGAGCTTCTATAGAAAGAAAGGAAAGTCTGGTATAAGATTAAAATGTAAAAAAAAAAAAAGAATTCTATATTAAGGGATATTTTCCCAGAAACTTGTCTCAAGAGCCATTATAAGAGCAGAATTTGCAGCTGGCAGGCATCATGTTGGATTGCAACCCTCATCACTCTCAACCAGTCTCAATAGCCTAAAAGATGACTAAGTGTCATGAGTGTTGTAGTTCAAGAGCAACAGAAATCCTGCAAGCTGTAAAGTCTCGGTGCAGAGGAATTTTTACGTTACGATAAATTGCATTGCACACAATCTGCACTGTTTTCCAGAAATAATTACACAACATTCACACTTAATATTTTCTGTACTGCTGCTTGCACGCATCACTCTCTCACAGAGCTACGCAGACACTCAGGTGATACATAAATTTATTTGAGCTATCCTTGAAGACACATGTTTGACCAAACAATACAATGTTTAAAAACCAATTACACATATTTAATGGCATAGAACAAAGAAGTTTATGGACTGACCTGGTGTTTGCTTTCTTTCTGTATAGACTAGTTGCTAGTAGATTATGTCCAGCCTCTAACTTGTGAATCAAGGTACCAATGGATAACTGCAGATCCTTTGCCCTATGGCACACAAAAAAAGTATCCAGATTAGAACAGGGAAAATATATGCCTCATATTCTACTGCATTGCATGTTCCTTAATAATGAGGGTTCTAGATTTTTTCTTTGCCCATAAAAAAATGGATGTCTTACCATTCCGGACAGGAACAATTTGTATCGGCTGGTTCTCTGCACATGATTTCAGATCTGGCTCCACGGATACAGAGATCTTTGCTTTATATATGTCTGTGTGTGTGCTGAGTACGGCCTCTTTAGTAGGAGGTTCAGAAAATGTATCCAAGTGAATAATATAAATAAAAAAATAAAAAAAATATTACAGACCTCTTCCCACGTCAACTGTGCCAGGGAAGGAGTTACAGTGCATAGAGATGTGTCTTCTGTTTTCCACAATGACTTTGGTTTTCATCTACCGGCCAGAAATTAGAGCACTTAGAGAGACAGGTATATATATAAAAGGAGGAAGGAAAAAAAAAAACCAGTAATTGAATTGAATAAAGGCCATGGACGATGCACATAGATACACAGACGTAGTAACAGGGAAACACAACAGAGAGACCCATTTATTAAGGAGCAAAAAAAATCCCTTACAATAGTATTGCGCAAATGTTATGATTTTCTGGTGGATCCTGAGTTTAACTGAATGAGGCAAATATTTAACATTAACTCCTTCACTCTCATGCAATTCCAGACCCAGATTGTCTGCTTTCATATAGGGTGCCAATATAATCTGCAGAGCTCTAAAACTAATAGACAAAACATAGATTAAGATGCCATTGGACAAAGACAGTGCCATTTTTAAAAAATAAAAAAAAACAGTCCTTCTTATATTAAAATATACTTTAAATGATATGTATTTTAGTTGTATTTATAGATCAATAGATTTGCATAGAAGTATGACATCTTTTTAATTTGCCCTGATTTTTTTAATTTTTATTATCTGCAGATTCTACTGTAAATAACTTATTATATAACGTATATAGCCGAATTTATTAGATAGACACAATGTGTAAGGCTTTCAGATTTTTTTACTTGCCACAGATAATTTTGCCCTCATATAATGTAAATAAACCACTTTGCCTTCCCACACCAAAATCGTACCCCTAGGTGGAGACTGGGTGTTAGCAGCCCAACCAAACATTGTGAAAGGATTGCGCGGCCTTGAACAGCTCACACCCACAAGCAGAACACCATCTCTTAACCAGGGATAATATATGCCTCAAAAGGCACCAGAAAATCCAGTCAATACAACCAACAGTGTGTATATCATTCAGACTCAGCCTATGTTGAGGCTGCAAAACTCTCAAATTGGCCTATCTCCTACATGACATTTGCCCAGATAGTCAAGGATGGGATTAGCATCAGTCCACTACGATAGTGAGATCTGCACCTTTGCTGCATTTAGTAAGTGAAGAACCACCGATTTCTTATATGAAAAAATTGAGAGCACAGTGTGATGAAGGACCATAGATTGTGGCATAAATGCAGGAGGTTCTTTTGAAACATAGTAGTAGCTCCACCAAATATACAGTATTTCTTCCAATGCTTTGAACACCTCAAGCAGGTATCTGAAAAAGAAGGTATCCACACATGCGGGGCCAGACTGGGAAATAAATTTAGCCAGGGCATTTTCCAATCAGAGCTGCCCAGTACGGATAGAGCCAAAAAGTGGGAATGTTGTGTCATCGTCAACGACAAGCGCATCCCCCCAAAGTGAGCATGCTTGTTCAATGCTCTTCCAGGGAAACTCTGGAGAGCTGTGTTTGCTTGTGACTTGCCTCTGGTGTCTCCATAAGCGGGATACCAGAGGACAAAAGGGCCAGGAGAGAGTATTGTGCATGTGTTCTGTGTTTAAGTGTGGTATTGCATGTGTGTAGAGGGAGCTTCTTGTGGTGTAGCATGGTGTCTTGCGTTAATCGGATGGCTTGAGTTGTTTTGTGTTTGTGTGGTTAGGGGTTGTGGTGTGCATGTGTAGAGGCTGTAGAGAGTGTGTTTAGGTGCTGTAGTATGTGTATAGGATAATGTAGTGAGTGTGTGCTAATCTAATCTTGAATAATCTGGACATTGAGGTCACAAAAGATAATTTTGTCAGGGTCCCATTCTTCTTCACAGGAGCATATTCATATTCCTTGTTGGTTATTGGCTTTCAAAAAAGAATGGGGATTTCACATAGAAACATGGCCTTGTCTGAGACTGTGCAAAAATGGACCTTCGCAACAAATTTCTAGATGGTATGAATTCTACATGTATTACTTAAAATGATCAACACTGTGCCCATGTAATTGTACCTAATAAATATTGACAGTTGCATGAATATGGGTTGTGGAAACTGTGAGGTCCATTTGGTGGGTTATTAGGAAGTCATCTTTTTTTTAGACGCCAGAGCTATATTTTGTCCTCACTCTTTACTGTGTGCTTTTTGTTCTATGCCTGTCCTTGTTATGTTTAAAAAGCTAAATAAAGTTTATGAAGTTGTTTCATGGCTGGTCATTTGCCTGAATTAAATAGCAGGAAATGAAGAAAAAATGTCATTAGGCTATGGAGGACCAGATTACTTATGTAATGCCAGCGGGTGTCAATGTACATAAAACACCATAATATGGATAGTACTGGGCAGGCATAATAGTATAAAGAGGAACGGTCCCATCCTCTGTCTATTCAGCCATAGGGCAATTTACAACTTGTATATATTCTCTGTAGATGACCCAGCCTCTGTCTGACCTTGCTACGTTTGATCCTATGCACACTCATACGTATACCCCACTTCCTCTAATGTAGGATAGGCTCCAGTATTTTTCAGTGCCTGGGTTAAATACAGCAGACATGCTAGTATGTTAAAGATTAAATGACAAACACATGATGCGTTTGCTGATAATTTAGAGCTGGCAGCTATTGTATAATGACATTTCTGATTGACTGATTTTGGTGATGACATAAAAGATATACCAAAGCTTTCTAACAATGACCTACAGCTAAGCTTGGAAAAAAAGCAAAACAAATAATTTAATGCATACTGATGTGCACATACAAACACATAATGAAACTGACTTTGGAAAGCAAGACAGAACATAGAAAATACAAAGTAACCAACAAGGTAAATATACTTGTGGATAATTATGAGCTGTTCTGATACATGTTTTAATAAACAGCTGAATGGCTAATATCTATACAAGAAAATAGAAAATGTCTTCCATGACAACATGGAGTTTATTTGGTTTAGCTGTGTGTTTAAAAGAGGGTTTTATGTCTATTAACTGCCATCTTATCCCCTGCCATCTTACCCCTGTTAACCCACTACTGCTCCTGCCATCCGGTCCACTATTAACTCACTATAACCCCTGCCATCCTTTCCCCTATTAACTCCCTATAACCCCTGCCATCCGGTCCCCTATTAACTCACTACTACCCCTGCCATCCTTTCCCCTATTAACTCCCTATAACCCCTGCCATCCAGTCCCCTATTAACTCACTACAACCCCTGCCATCCTTTCCCCTATTAACTCACTACAACCCCTGCCATCCTTTCCCCTATTAACTCACTACAACCCCTGCCATCCTTTCCCCTATTAACTCACTACAACCCCTGCCATCCTTTCCCCTATTAACTCACTACAACCCCTGCCATCCTTTCCCCTATTAACTCATTATAACCCCTGCCATCCTTTCCCCTATTAACTCACTACAACCCCTGCCATCCTTTCCTCTATTAACTCACTACAACCCCTGCCATCCTTTCCCCTATTAACTCACTACAACCCCTGCCATCCTTTCCCCTATTAACTCACTACAACCCCTGCCATCCTTTCCCCTATTAACTCATTATAACCCCTGCCATCCTTTCCCCTATTAACTCACTATAACCCCTGCCATCCTTTCCCCTATTAACTCACTATAACCCCTGCCATCCTTTCCCCTATTAACTCACTACAACCCCTGACATCCTTTCCCCTATTAACTCACTATAACCCCTGCCATCCTTTCCCCTATTAACTCACTATAACCCCTGCCATCCTTTCCCCTATTAACGCATTACACCCCATGCCATCCTGCCCCTATTGACACACTACACTCCCTGCACTTACACACAACACACTCTCTATACCCCTTATATACACCCCTGTACTCACACACACACTACACACACTCTATACCTCTTTAACTACACACACTACATTCCCTGCACACACAAACACACAGTACACACACTCTATACCTCTTTAACTACACACACTACATCCCCTGCACACACATACACACAGTACACACACTCTATACCTCTTTAACTACACACACTACATCCCCTGCACACACATACACACAGTACACACACTCTATACCTCTTTAACTACACACACTACATCCCCTGCACACACATACACACAGTACACACACTCTATACCTCTTTAACTACACACACTACATCCCCTGCACACACATACACACAGTACACACAACTCTATGATCCCCTAAACATACACTACACTCCCTGCACACACACTCTAAACCCTTATAAACACAACCTACACCCCCTGCATACACACCACCTACTCACTCTACCCCTTATACACACCACACCCCCATGCATTCACACACACACTCCATACACACACTACTTTATATACACATGCACACACTAAAGCTCCTAGATACACACACAATTAACACGCTCCTTTTTTGGCCCCGTCCCTCACAGTGGGCTGCTCTGCCTTTTACAGAATTTTCGTCCCAGTCCGGCCCTGGATAAATCCTTGTGTAGTCTCTAAATATTTTCATCAGTGCACATCTGCTGAGCAGCAGGGATGCCGAAACTGTAACCCACATGCTGAATGACATTGCAGATGACTTCCACGGCTACAAGAATATCCACGCTGGCAAAGCTGATGTCTGTGCCAAATGTCTTCTGTGAGCAAAATGCATGCATTTCTCATTGGAACTGCTATGGTCACTGTGAGCAAAAACCTCTAAAAGTGAGCAAAGTGCATTCTCTGTCAAAATCAATGGAATTCCCACAATTGAAGCAAGTAGATTGTGCGCACAGCATGCTGCTCCAAACAAACGAATCTAAATCACTTTGATATGATGTGAATAATTTCATTGTGAACCTAAATACTGAGCAATATCTGTAATACCGGCATGCAAACATACCAACATCTGTGATACCATAAAGCATGAAAACACAAACGCACTACATACAAAACCACCCTGAATCTGACTAATACAAAATGAATAGTGAGTTGCATTGGGTGAGCTGTGTTTGTCTGTATGCAGAGCTTATTACATTACAATGTTCTGCAACAGACGCGGTTCCTTTCACTAGATGAGATGCTCTGCACATCAACACATATAGCAGTGTGTATTGTACTGTGTGCTGTGCTTTGCGGAGCTTTTTATAGAACAATATTCTGGAGTGGCAGACACAGCTCCTTTCACTCGATACATTTCACATGAGGTGACTGGTGTTAGTGCGCTAAGCATTTTAGGGTAAAATGTTTTGCACAGGAGCACATAGCTTCTTTATTATTTGTAAATAAATCAGAAGAGAAGTTTTAAAATATAAATTACTTTTGACCCCTTGCATCTTCAACACGCCACCTCTCATATCGCTTGGTTCTTCAGGTTGGTCGGAGTACAACATTTGTGTGAAAAAAGTAATGGTTTACAACTAATTTTAAATCATGCCTTACTTTTTAAAAACAAAGATTTTCCATAGTCTGAGTATTCAAGCGCTGGACATCATTAGACCTGACCACATACGTCAAAAATATACTGATGGCGTTAGGATATTCTTACCATAATACAAGGACAAGCAGTCTACAACCAACTGGAAGATGATTGAATATTTCGCCTCCTAGACATATGTGTCAAGTATTGTTAAACAATCTCTTGATATCTTCTTCTTTTGGCCAATTAAAAAAATCTTGGAGTTCATCTGATATTGGGTAGCAGAAGCTAACCCCATGTATTGGGTACTACTGGCAATATATTCTATTCTACTTTTGCAGAAAAGTGTGAACTCAGAGATCAGACAATGCAGGAAATGAAGGCTCCACACAGGAAGTGAAGGCCCTTACCAATGATGAATAAAGTAGTTGAGAGAAGCTGGTGAAGCTATGTGACTATATTAGAAAGATAACACAGGCCCCACTCTGGACATGTGCGTATCTCATGTATGTAGTTGCTACCGATGTGTGCTGAACACATATACCCTCTAATGGGACAAGTCCTCTCTAGGCAGAGTACCTTTTGGTTTGGAAGGTGAAGGTTAAATTACTGCAGCTGTGATTAATCATCTTGATGCTTCATTACATAAAGTAGGATATATTAAAGGGACTCTCCAGTGCAAGATAAACAAACCCTTCCACCCACAATCCCATGTTGCTGAAGGGGTTAAAACCCCTTCAGTGACTTACCTGAATCCAGCGCTGATGTCCCTCGGCGCTGGGTCAGGCTCCGCCCACTCTCCTCCCCCACCGACGTCAGCCGGCGTGGTATACCCAAGGCCCATGTGTGGCAATGACCTCACTCGTATTAGACCTCCCCATAGGAAAGCATTATTCAATGCTTTCCCAAGGGGCTTCCGGCAAAGCTGGAGGTCCTCATGCATAGCGTGAGGACGTCCAGCGTAGTTTAAAACACTTTTCGTGTTTTAAGAACACAGTAGTCCCTCTAGTGGCTGTCTGACAGACAGCCACTAGAGGAGGACTTAACCCTGCATGGTAATTATTGCAGTTTATAAAAACTGCAATCATTACACTTGCAGGGTTAAGGGTGATAGGAGTTGGCACCTAGACCACTCCAATGGGCAGAAGCAGTCTGGGTGCCTGGAGTGTCCCTTTAATTACTTAACTTTGTTGGTAATAATTATACATTTTTGTAAAGATTCCTTTACTGTTTGACCCCAATGCAGGTTTTATCAAGGATGATTATAACAATTGCATATGTCAAGGGTGTCAACATCTTAGAAAAACATACAAAAAAAAATTAAGCCCTTCACTCAAACTCCCACTATTCCTCGGCGGCAGCAATGACTATAGTACACATCAGCCCCAATACATAAAACAAAAAAAAAACGTTACCTGCACACTAATTCAAATCCTTATGCATATTTTAATAATTTGATGGTTTTAATATCACTCAATGGTAATGGCCATTAAATGCCAAACCTCGTATGTGGGTCCTACACTAACAACTCACCTTGCTTTTTTGAGCTAAAAGGGAAAACCTCTAATGAGACAGAGGGGTATTTTTCTAAATGTTACAGTGCTGCTGCCCATCCCATGTGTTCCCTATTAAGGGTTAATAAGTATGTAGGAGTTTAGGAAAATGCCCCTCTCTGTCTCATTAGAGATTTTACCTTTTAACTGAAAGAAACAAGCTGAATTGTTAGTGTAGGTCTCACCTAAGATGTTTTGCCTTGACGTGGCAAGTGAGCTTACACTTTGATGGCCACTGGAGTGATTCCCAAAAACCTCCATTTATTTAAATGTGCATAGGGATTTGGAATAGTGCGCAAGTAACTTTTTTTTATCTTACTGATTACTGTCTTAATGTGTTTTTTATGAATACATGATAAAAATTAGCAATACAATTACCCTACTCTTTCATGCTATTTTATTAAAATTATTAATTATTTACTTTTGTGTGACCACACTCAATGCTCTTTACTATGTTTTTTTTGTGTGAAATATCACCAGGGGGCATATAATTACTCCTATATGTTCATTATCCTTCCAATCCCCAACACCACAGCGTCTCTTCACCCACTCCCTCGACGGAGCATTATCCATAGCCATCGAATATTTCTTACCACCCCCACCATCACCTCGTGTGTGACGAGACCACCTATTACACTCTACTCCAAGTAATTATTCTTCCCACACACTGTCAGCTCTGCAGAAACGCTAATCAGAGCTTCCGCTTCCACAGGGAAAAACATACACAGCAAGATGAGGCTGCAACCCTTTATTCACAGCAGCTGGAATGGTTAAATATGCTCTGTATTCAATGCTGTTGATTTCATGTTGAATCGCATTGCTCATTACGAGCTTTGGAATAGAGGTGGAGAATTTTTTTTAAGATTTAACACGTGGCATCACAATCTACTTCAGTCCAGGCGCATCAAGGGCACACAGTGCAGCAGAGGAAAATAAACAGCAACCTTGTTATATACATGAGATGAAAAGGGAAGGATAAGAAAAGAGGGTGGGTAACAACAGGTGGTTAAATTGGTAAGTCCACCAAGGAGGGAGGTATTTAGGCCTCCAGACCTTCCCACAAGCCTTCTTACTAGTGTGAGATCAGTTTGCTTTAACATGATTATTGTTATACACGTGGTATAAATTGTTAATATCTCTGAAATGGAAAAATCAATTAAAAGTATTGATTATTTCTTTGTGTATCTGCCCCTGGCCAAATCAATGAAACAGTGCGTGCACGCTCCCTGAAGTAATTCACACCAGACACAGGTTCCAGGTTGTTGAATAACTTGAGGAAAGTTTATTCAGAGGGGACGGCAAGTCCCTTTTAAAGCAAAATTACATCATAAGCATTGTCAGAGATAACATGGAATAATACATCAATTATTGGTTAGGTGTTAAGTGGTTGCTCTAATGTTCTGCCTACTGTAGGTGATGTCACCGGGACCATGAGGGTCTCCCACGGTTTCCCGGCGCCATCTTGGTGCATGAGGTAGTTAGTCGATGTTAGGAAGGAGAAAGGGAAGGGGGGGGGGGAAAAGAGCAAGAAGCTTCTAGCAGCCATCTTAATTATAACGTGTGTGCTTGACTATATATATATATATCGTGAAATGAGTAAATAGACATTTTTCACTAACTAGGAAATATGTGTAGACCTTATTTCCACAACAGTCCCCCCTGAAATGGCTATTTACCATAACAACTGCTACTGTCCCTAATATGTCCCTAGTTGCCTGCAACCTATCTGTCTTAACTAGCATCGAACACTTCACTCCGCGGGTAACCCGCAGTGGCTAGTCCACTACATCTCCACACGTGAGACTCGCCAGTTAAGACAGATGCTTTCCCTATACTGTCCCTACAGGAAAGCAGTTGTCTGTTTGAACTGATGTGATTGAAGGGGTGTATGTGGGGTATCATCTTCGAGGTCTGTGATGTCTTGGTGTATGAAAGTAGGGGTCACGTCATCTATAGTCTTGTCCACCGCTTTCTGTAGATACCTCTGTATGCAGGGGAATATGCAACAGGTCAGAAATAAGAAAATAACGATCATTATGAGAACAGCTGTCCCCACCTGGAAGAGGGTCCTTTGCCAACCATTCATCCATCCAAACCATCTGTCCCAAGTGTCGATGACTCCTGAATTTTTCTTTAACTCGTCTGCAAGACTATCTAACTTCTCTATGGCCATAGTCACCTTACCATTGGGCCCAGTGTTGTCTGGAATGTATGTGCAGCATGTTATGGTCTCAGGGAGGATTTTACATACACCCCCTTTCTCAGCTAAAATCATATCTAGGGCCATTCTGTTCTGAAATGTCATTTGGGTAGTGGCTTGTAGTTGCTCTGCCAGGCCCTGTAGGGCATCCCTAGTGTAATTGACAAAACGCTGTTGATTATAGTAAATATAGTTAATCCAATTGACATTTTTGTTAACAGTTATCATTGGAATTAGGGACTCAAATCCCGCAGCCACTTCATCTCTTGCTTTGAATTCGTTAGGCACCCCCCTTGGCACACCTATGGCATCAATATACACATGGGGGTCGAAACTCCCTCGAATAGGAGTCTCTCGTTTGATTCTAGAGTGTGCATGTGTGAGGTTTAACGTGTTATGATCACCATCTGGAATGATATGGATAGGCATTATGACTTTGGTTAGGGCACACTCCCCCCACCATTGCCCAATTAATTGGGACCTCAATTGTTTATCCCCACATAACCAATAGATATCGCCGATTGTCTTTGTGTGGTTCATTAACAGTGATACAGGTGGATTATGGTAAGTTGAGCAATATCCTGATGGGAATTTGCCCAGATACAACCCGGTGTTCTTAGATATTGTATAACATGTGTAATTACCTGTGTAGATGGTGACTCCATCAGGTGGTTTTACATGTCCGTGAGTGATCGGGTAAATTCTCTTCCATGATTCACATGTCGAGGAATTGGTGACGGACTGTGTGTAAAGGCTCAGAACACATGATTCTACTTCAGGAGGTAAATTCAGAGGAACTGTGCCCAGATGGGGCCTGGCTCCCCCACACACGTAACAATTGGTCTTATTGTGTGAGTTGGCATTATACCTCATCCATTCTAGCCATAAATTAGTGTCTGAAAAAACAGTTTCCACTGCCATAGTGTCTTCAAAGGTGGGGTTGGCTATAGCTACCATGTCATGTAGGGTCTTAATATGTGGTTTTAACGGGTTAACGATCATGTGAGTGGTCCCCACCCAGTCGGGGGAGGTGAGCATGTCTTGTAGGTAGAATGTCCCCAGTGCATTGTGTGAGCCACCTCCCTTCCAGTACATCCCCATCACATATTCCCCCGCGTCCCTTGGACTAGGGTGTTCTATGTTCAAGGTAAGTTTAATGGGAGTTGACCCTGTGGGTTTACTAAGAGTCATTCTAGAAAGTAGGGGCTTCCCGTCTTTGTCAAGTCTGTCTAGTGCAACCTGAGGTCTGTAGCCCCATGGTCTACCTGTATTCCACCCGGCAGCTTTCCATGAACTACAGTGGTGTCCCCAAGCTCCTCCAGTCACACAAATGTATGGGTCCTTTTTGTTAGGTATGTCCTTGTATATGGCTGCATGTTGTGTCTGTGGGAATGTACAGGTAACTATGTCACAGTAATCAAAGGTGTATGTAGCTACATCAGTATCAGAAGAATTGTACCAGAAAGTGTAAACATGATTATCTTTGGTTATGGCCACTTGTTGGGCCCAGGCAAAATGCAACAATATAAGAAAACACAAGACACATAATAAATTCATGTTTCAACAAGATCAGCTTCTCCTGGAGCAGGCACTTTTTTGCAATGTGAAGCGTGTATCCAGGAACTTTTTCCAGCTAGTTTAACTGACGTTGCTGTAATCAGGAGCACTTGATAAGGACCATCAAATCTCGGTTCTAGGGTGTGTTTCCTGAGGAACTTCTTAACCATAACCCAATCACCTGGAAGCAGCTTGTGTGTACCTGTATTCGACTCAGGATCTGGAATAGAAGAAAACACTTGGGCATGTATCTTGGTCAAGGCATGTGAAAGGGCAGTCACATAGTCTACCATAGCGTCTGACTGAATCTGAAGCTGTTGGGGAAAGTAGCAACCTAACCTGGGTGCTGTACCAAACAAAATCTCATAAGGTGACAAACTGTGTTTTCCTCTGGGAGTGTACCTTACACTGAATAACGCTAGTGGAAGACTCTCGGGCCAGGGCATGTTAGTTTCTTGTGACATTTTAAGCATTCTGGCTTTCAAAGTGCCATTCATGCGCTCTACCTTACCACTACTCTGTGGGTGATATGGTGTGTGGAATGCAAGGGTCACCCCCAGTGCTGACCAGACTTCCCGTGTTAGCGAGGCAGTGAAGGAGGTCCCTTGGTCACTTTCAATTACTTCTGGAACCCCATAGCGGCAAACAATTTCTGTCAAGAGATATTTGGCTGTAGTCCTCGCGGTGAGATTAGTCACTGGGAAGGCCTCTGGCCATCCTGAAAACATGTCCACCATGACCAATGCATATTCATAACGTCCACTCTTTGGCATCTGAATGTGATCAATCTGGATCCTCTGGAAGGGATATTGCGGCTTGGCTAGGTGATTAGGTGCAGTCTTTATAATCTTTCCAGGATTGCATTTAGCACATATAGTACATGACTTACAGTAATTCTGTGTTAAGGTGGTGATGCCTGGTGCTTCGAAATATTTGTCAATCAGTGAATTCATCAGGAGTTTTGACAGATGAGCTGGCCCATGGGGCCATTGGACCACCGCTGGATACATATTTCTGGGTAGGCAAAACTTGAGATTGATAGTGTAAACATCATCACGGAGTACAGCTCCTTTGTTCTTCCAACTTTGTTTCTCCTGGGGAGTAGCAGCAGCTTGCTGTTCCTTCAGAAGCCTGAGGGCTGTAGGCAATGTTTGCATAGTATAGATAGGCAGTGTATCTGTGGCCACTCTTCTGTCCACTTCCCATCTTTGCCGTGCTGCTTCTTTAGCTGCTTGATCAGCCAGGTGATTGCCACGTGCTTCTTCTGTGTCTAGTCTTCCATGGGCTTTTACCTTCAGTACTGCCACCTCAGCTGGAAGTTCCAATGCGTCCATCAACTCTGCAATGGCTGCCCCATGCTTTACTGGGGTACCAGTGGCCGTAAGAAATCCTCTGGTCTTCCAAATTAAGCCAAAATCATGTGCTACTCCCAAGGCATATCTTGAATCCGTGTAAATGTTGACACGCAACCCTTCAGACAATTTGCAAGCCACAGTTAGGGCTGTCAATTCAGCTTCTTGAGCAGACTTATTTGGTTGTAGGGCAGCTGCTTGTAACACTTGACATTCTGTGGTAACTGCATACCCAGTGTGATATTGCCCTTGTTCATCAGCAAATCTTGACCCATCCACAAATAATGTTTGGTCCGGGTTGAGTAGTGCAGCTTCATAGACAGTTGGTAGATGTGTAGTTTCCATTTTCATTTGTTCAAAGCAATCATGAGGGATATCGTGGTCACAGTCTGTGGTGAGTGGATCCTCACAGGCTTCTGTATGGTACCTGGGGTACCCAGTTGTACAGTAATTAATAGTCTTTTTGTTGATTCTCGTAGAAGTCAGTTGTTCTGGGGTCATTTGACTCCAGGTTTTGGCCATCGGGCCTAGATCTTTCCACGAGATGTCGGGGGGTCTGGTGAGAGATATGTGTGGGATCGATGTTTCCCAATGGTGATAGAGATGTGTCACACTCTCTGGGAGGTGGACCAAGATAAGCATGGTACCTGTGAGGTCCCAAAACAAGTCAGTCAGGGTAATGTGGATTTCTTTGAGTTGGAATACTTCTGCCTCGTAATTCATATCAGGGCCTGGTTCATCCCTAATCCACAAAGTGCAATGAAGTAGGGCCATTGATTGATCATCATGTGGAGGTGCAAGTGCAGGTAGTTGCAGATTTGTTAGAACTTCCGGGTTGATATCCAGGCTGTACCAGTGGTACACAATAGGGCCATTGATTGATCATCATGTGGAGGTGCAAGTGCAGGTAGTTGCAGATTTGTTAGAACTTCCGGGTTGATATCCAGGCTGTACCAGTGGTACACAATTCCCCCCTTGGGAAGTGGCAGAAGAGTGGCCGGGTTCAGGGTTAGGCATCTCTGAAGTTTTATGTTATCAGGTAAAAGCAATGAGGTTTGCAGGCGGAGGTGGCGTTGGGAGGAAAGGTGCTTGGGTTGAACTTGTTGCAGGATAGCAGTAATGTCATGGGGGGCCAACACGGTAAGGTGATGGCCAAGCACAAAGTCATTAGTCTTGTCCAGGAGGGCACTGGCGGCAAACACAGCACGGAGGCAAGAGGGGCTGCCCCTTGCAACAGGGTCAAGCATACAGGAAAAATAGCCAATGGGCCGTTGTCTGGACCCATGTTTCTGAGTAAGGACTCCGGAAGCATGTCCCGATTTTTCAGAGACAAACAAATTGAAAGAGAGTTGATAGTTGGGTAGGCCCAAGGCAGGAGCAGAGGCAATAGCTCTTTTCAGAGTATGGAAACAGTCAATAGTTTCTTCAGTGAGGTGAAAGGGCTCACTTCGAAGTGCATCATAGAGAGGTTGCATGAGTTTGGATGCTTCAGGTATCCAAGACCTGCAGTATGTTATGAGACCCAAGAAAGCATGAAGAGAGTGATGGGTTGCAGGTAATGGGAGTTGCAGGATAGCTTGCACCCGTTGTGAGGTTAGATGTTTGGTGCCATGGGAAAGGCAGTGTCCCAAGAAGACCACAGAGGGCCGGCACCATTGTAGCTTTGATTTTGAGGCCTTGCACCCGGCAGCAGCGAGGAAACATAAGAGATCTTCTGAGTCACGTTCTGCAATTAGCAAATTAGGAGCACAGAGTAGAAGGTCATCAACATATTGTAGTAAAACAACATCGAGATGTGATTTCTGCCAGGGATCCAGAACCAGAGACATGGCATGAGCAAACTGTGTTGGGGAGTTCTGCGCTCCCTGGGGCATAACAGTCCAAGTATATTGTTGTCCTTCATGTGTGAAGGCGAAGAGAAAACGGCAGGAGGGATCAAGGGGAACACTGAAAAAGGCATTAGCCAGATCCACAACAGTAAAAATTGTTGAAGTTGGTGGCACTTGGGACAAAAGGGTATGAGGGTTTGGAACAATAGCAGTGTCCTTTATGGTTACCTCGTTAACAGCACGGAGGTCCTGTACCATACGGTATTGGTCGGGTTGGCCCTTAACAGTTCGCTTTTTAACAGGGAAGAGAGGGGTGTTGCATGGAGATGTACACTTGGTGAGGGCACCTTTTGCAAGCAGGGTCTCAACTTGCTTGGTGATGGCTTCAGCTTGTGCTGGCTTCAGAGGATACTGAGGTCTACGAGGGGGGAGTGCACCAGGCAGGAGCTGGACCAGGACTGGGGGTACATGTAAGCGTCCAATATCATCCGGGCCGGTGGACCAAAGTTCTTGGGGGATACGATCCAGGGCACTGGGGGTGTGTGTGACCCGTGCATTCCCAGTATTGTCAGTTAGATTCAACAAAATTGGGAGTGAGCAGAGTACAGAAGTATCTTTCTGCGATAAGGGGGTTGTCAACTCAACCTGTCCATCAGCAGTAAAGGTAATGGAAGCCTGGAGCCGAGAGAGAACATCGGCACCTAGGAGGTTAATGGGGCAGGTGGAGGAAACAACAAAACGGGACAGGATATGTGAGCCTACATGTAAGAGCTTGGTGAGGGGGTTACTGCGTGGTGTACCATCCACCCCAACACAGGAGACATCAGTGTCAGATAGGAAGGAAGGGTCTGGCAGGTCTTGTTCCCTAAGGACACTACGGGCTGCACCTGTGTCAACTAAAAAGGTGGTTGGGTGACCCTCCACGGGGAGAACTACAGTAGCTAAAGGTCCTCCTCCATCCCCCGCAGACACTGCCATGGCGGGGGTTGCTGACACAGGCTTGCCAGTTACCTATTGTAATAAATCTAGGTGGGCTTGATCCGGTCCCTGGTACCGGCGGGAGGTGGAGGGAGGGTTAGCAGTATGCATAGGTGGGCGGGATGGACGGAGGGCATGGCGGGGATGAGGTGGGTTGTCTTGGAGGTCATCAGTATCATACCCTTCAGCAGAGGGCGAGGTGTATGCACGGGCTTCTGCTGCGGGGAGCCGGGCTTGGGAATACTCAGGAGGCGGAGGGGGAGGAGGTGGAGGAGGTAACTGAGGCAACTGTGGATGGGGTAGGGCAGGGAGGTAACCTGTGGAGGGGAAATTGTAACTGGTGACATGTGGATTTTGGTACCGGGGAGTCTGCTGGCGGAACACTCTAGGGTGTGGGCAATCTCTTCTAAAGTGACCTGGCTGATTACAATTAAAGCAGGTCCGGATTGTCGTGACAGACCGATCACGGGAGAAAGGGATTGGTGCAGGCAGTGTCTGGGGGGGCTGGGTGTACTGTTGGGGAAACATCTGAGGACCCTGGCTTGGACCAGCGAATGGGGTGGAGGTAGCATACATCAGAGGACTGGGTCTACGTAGTGTAGGTAGCAAAACAGATTCTAAGCCCTTGGCAACTAGCAAAAGAGTATCCAGTGGAATAATTCTATACTCAGGCCGAGCTAAGATTAACCCCTTACGGATGTGTTCTCTAAGCCCTGCCACAAAGGCTGCAGATAGCATCTGGGTGTGTGCTTTGTTGTAAGTACTAAACCCTAAGTCTGAAAAAGTCTGAGTCAACCTAGAGTGATACTTCTCAACTGTCTCAAGTTTGTCCTGTAAAATGTCATTAATGCAAGTAGCCTGATCTGCTAGTTTATCCTGTGCCCAAGCTCGAAGCTGTTCACAAAAGACTTCACCAGAACGAAAGTCAGTATCAGAAGTAAGTGGAGCGTCATTAAAACTCCGTTCCATGATTGGCCAGTATGCATCACCGGCTTTGATTTCACATAGACTAATAAGATCCCGCCAAGCAGCGGAGTACGTTTTACGGATCTGAGCCATCCGGCGGAAAAAGGGCATAGGGTGTTTTTCAGGATCAGGGAGTGAGGTCACAAGGGTAGCAGCTTGGGAAGGGTTAAAGGTAACATACATAGGCGGTGCTCCATCCGCACCATGGTTGATCGGGATGTAACCTTGAGGGATAGTGTGCTGTTGGGGGAGCCTATTCACCCCCACCTGGGGCGAATTCTGGTCAACCGCAACAACCTCTTCGGGCAACACTGGGCCACGGCGGAGGGTAGCCTCAGGGGTAGCTGTAGCGGGGACAACAGGGAGGGCCGTGGTAGGTAAGGTAACTGGGTGGAAACCCGAAGCCTGGGGGGAGGCACCCATTGCATAGGGCTGGTCAGATGTCCCAGACACCTCGGATCCAACCACCATGATTGGGTAACTTGGACTGGCGGAAGGGACACGAGGGACCAGAGCCGTGGAAGGGGCTGTCACAGGGGCCGGGTGGGTTGGGCGTGAAAGGTGTGTATTTAGGACATGTGCAAGGGCGGAGATTGGATCGGGGACTTCGGCAGGAGACAAGGGTGGGGTCGGAGGTTCGGGGGGAGGAGGAGGAGGAGGAAGAGGAGGTACGTCAATGGGAGGTGGTACGGGGGTCGCGGAAGTAACTAGGGAAGTAACAGCAGTGAAGAGGGCGGATATCGAGCCGGACAGGTCATTGGTCATGTGTGTGTCAGGGGTCATGGGGGAAAGGGTCGGAGGGACGGGACCAAGGGCCTGTGTCAGGGTCGGGGGGGCAGGGATGTCGGGGGGTGGTAACAGGGGAAAAGAGGCCGGGGGGATTGCGACGGGAGGTTGGGTTAGGGTGCTGAGGGCGGAGATTAGGGACGGCAAATCGGCCGCGGGAGTAGGAGGCAACAAGGCAGAGGGGGCTGGGGTTTCAGGAGGAGGTAACGCTGGAGGAGGAGTGAGAGGGGTGACGGCAATGGGTTGGGTTAGGGCGGTGAGGGCGGAGATTAGGGACGGCAAATCGGCCGCGGGAGTAGGAGGCAACAAGGCAGAGGGGGCTGGGGTTTCAGGAGGAGGTAACGCCGGAGGAGGAGTAAGAGGGTCCTTGGGGATGGGAGGGGTAACTGTGGATAGGGGGCCGGAGGTAAAGGAACTGGGACTAACGGGCTGAACAAGATTCATGAGAGCCGAGAGTAGGGACGGGGGATCTTTGGAAGATGAGGAGGAGGAGGAGAGGAGATGAGAAGGGGTGGGGGACAATGGAGGCGCAGGGCTGGGGGTCACGGGGTTTCCTGAGGATACCGGGGAGGGAGAGTCGACCGGGGGACAGGGGTCCGGGGAGACAGGGGCGGTTGGGTAGGTAGGAGCGGGGGGTGTAGGACGTAGGACGGACGGAGAGGGAGAAGGAGCGGGGACTACTAGGGAAGGGGTACTCAAAGTGGAGAGGGACTGGGAGGAGGAGGGGGATGGAACTTCCATGGTCGAGGCGGGAATAGTCGGGGCAGTGTTCGGGGTGAGGACTGGCGCTGGGAAAGGTAACGGAGGGCATGGAGGTGGGGGGGCTCCGATGGACATGGCGGGACGATGGTTGAAAGAGGGGGTCTGGTCACAGGGGGGTTGGGGCATGGGAGTGGGTGGGAACGAGTGATGTGGCACTGGGAAATAGTAAGCTCCGTCTACACCGAGTACAGGACATAAGGGAGTGGGGGCTGTAGGCACACCCCCGGGGGGTGGGGTCTGAGCTGTGACGGGAGAAGCAGGGCGGGAATTTACTGTTGCGCTCTGGGCGCCATCATAGGGTGGTGGCCGTGGAACAATGGAAACAACATCATCATTGTGAACACTCCTATGGTAAACATGCACAATTTGTCCTTCAAATTCCAACTCTTCCTCGACCCATCCTTCCCGTTTCAAACCTCTGGCTACACGATACCAAGCCTCTGCAACCTTTGTCAGTCCGTTATCCAACAATAAACCTTCCTTATCTATGAGTAGCTTTCTCCAAAACTCCGGTTGCAATCTCCCACTGGGTAACATCTGAAAGCCACACACCTTAGCAATCTTTTTAAGTTTCATCATAGCATCTTCCCCTGCCCTTTCTTTCACAATATCACAAGCCAATAAACCTTTAGCAGGTCTAGCATGTTCCTGCCCCATCTTGACCAAACAAAACGTGCCACTCGTTAATGACAGATGGATAGAGGAGGTATAAGAAAGGAGGGGAGAAGGAGTGTCTACAGTGCTCGACTGCCACGAGAACTTGAGCCCCGTGCGTCTTCCCCAAACGTAGACTAGTCACGGAGATCCGCCCACCCGGGGTGGTGGTCACGGACGGGAGCGAATGAGCGTGGGTGACTAACACAGCTCTGGGCAACAGGCACAGGAAAGATAAAGCACAAAAGAAAAGATGAACGTGGCTGCGCTAATGAGAAGACATTTGCAAAAATCACAAACATATAAATGAGCATAGACTCCGGAGTCCAGAACTAACCACACAATACACACGCACACACCAAGGGTACCCACGCTGTAACAACAATTAAACAAGAACCACAGGATGACAGAGAGTAAAATGGCCATGTACATGTTAATGACACCAGTGCTGAATAAACAAAGTATAGCAATCCTCAGCCTTCACCCACCAGGCTGGTCCCAGTATAACACAAGTATTAATGAGAGCACAGTAATAAACAAACAAAATCCCAGCCCCACCGGCTGTAATGCGTTCCCTGCCCGCTAGGCAGTCAAGCTAACTTAAAATCCCAGCCCCTCCGGCTGTAAAATCCCAGCCCCACCGGCTGTAATGCGTTCCCTGCCCGCTAGGCAGTCAAGCTAACTTAAAATCCCAGCCCCACCGGCTGTAATGCGTTCCCTGCCCGCTAGGCAGTCAAGCTAACTTAAAATCCCAGCCCCACCGGCTGTAAAATCCCAGCCCCACCGGCTGTAATGCGTTCCCTGCCCGCTAGGCAGTCAAGCTATCGTCTTTTAAAAAGGGGGAAAACACACACTCCGGCCGACACACACATTCAAACAAATACAGGAGGCAGATAGACAATCGACAGGTTCACCTTAAAAGGCACACCGGATGAGTTAATTACCTGTCTCTAGTAGCCTTCTGGAAGCCGGAAGTGGACTCGGAGACAGACCGACACAAAACAGGAGAATAACACAGGCAACGGCTGTATTATGGAGGTGATCAGGCTCCGCTTGTCCCACTTTCCGGAGGTCCGCTCCGGTCCGTTGGTTCCGGCCCTCCGAACCGGCCCTCCGGTGGCCCCACGTTGGGCGCCAATTGAAATGGAAAAATCAATTAAAAGTATTGATTATTTCTTTGTGTATCTGCCCCTGGCCAAATCAATGAAACAATGCGTGCACGCTCCCTGAAGTAATTCACACCAGACACAGGTTCCAGGTTGTTGAATAACTTGAGGAATGTTTATTCAGAGGGGACGGCAAGTCCCTTTTAAAGCAAAATTACATCATAAGCATTGTCAGAGATAACATGGAATAATACATCAATTATTGGTTAGGTGTTAAGTGGTTGCTCTAATGTTCTGCCTACTGTAGGTGATGTCACCGGGACCATGAGGGTCTCCCACGGTTTCCCGGCGCCATCTTGGTGCACGAGGTAGTTAGTCGATGTTAGGAAGGAGTAAGGGAAGGGGGGGGGGAAAGGAGCAAGAAGCTTCTAGCAGCCATCTTAATTATAACGTGTGTGCTTGACTATATATATATATATCGTGAAATGAGTAAATAGACATTTTTCACTAACTAGGAAATATGTGTAGACCTTATTTCCACAACAGTCCCTATAGAGTGCTTCGTAGGATCAATCCAGTGTCTTACTCTCTGGCTCTTCCTGCATCTTTAGGGATTCCCAACACTTTTCATGTGTCCTTACTCAAACCTCTTGTCTGCAATAGATATACTGTTCCTTGTGTTCCTCCCCCTCCGGTGGTGGTGGGTGGTCAGGAGGAGTATGAAGTATCTTCTATTGTGGATTCTAGGTTTTCTCGGGGCACTTTACAGTACTTGGTTGTTTGGAAAGGTTACGGTCCTGCTGATCGTTCTTGGGTTTCGGCTACTGACCTGCATGCGGGCCTTAAAATCCGCGCTTTTCACGCCAAATTTCCTCTCAAGCCTGGTCCTGCCCGACCGGTGGGCGTTCTTCAGGTGGGGAATAATGTCACGTATTCATCCACTTATAGAAATGTGGTTGATGACATTTACTGTCCACACAGGAAAAGTTGTGCCGAGCAGCAGCCTAATCCACAGAAGGTTAATGCTGAGCAGCAATTATGCAAATGAAACCTGGTAACTGACTTTGGGGTCAAAGGCCGTTTACAGCCTATCAGAACTAAAGGAGGGGTATATAGGCCCAGTTTTCATCCTGCTCAGTGCCCTGTCGTGTTTTCACTTGTGGTTGTCTGAGAGCGCGTTCCTGTTTATAGTTTTCTACCTGGTTTTTGACTTTGGCTTTGTTTATTGACTTCTCTATATTCTGGTATCCTGACTCCTGGCTTTCCTCATCGCTGAGACCTCGGCTAGTATTTTTGACTATTCTATGTACGTTAAATCCGACCATTCTAAGGACCGGTAATACGTTACTTATTTGTCATCTGTGCTATACAGTTCTACGTGCTGGATCAAACAGTAATCCTGACACCCTGACAGAGTCTTTCAATGCCCCTCAAAGAGTCTTTCAATGCCCCTGACAGTCTTTCAATGCCCCTCAAAGAGTCTTTCAATGTCCCTGACAGAGCCTTTTAATGTCCCTAACAGAGAATTTCAATGCCCCTGACAGGGTCTTTCAATGACCCTCAAAGAGTCTTTTAATGCCCCTGACAGTCTTTCAATGCCCCTCACAGAGCCTTTTAATGTTCTTTACAGAGCATTTTAATGTCCCTAACAGAAAATTTCAGTGCCCCTGACAGAGTCTTTTAATGTCCCTTACAGAGCCTTTTAATGTCCCTAGCAAAGAATTTCAATGCCTCTGACATAGTCTTTTACACGCCCCTGACATAGTCTTTCAATGCCCCTGACGGAGTCTTTCAATGCCCCTGACGGAGTCTTTCAATGAGCCTGACAGAGCCTTTCAATGTCCCTAACAGAGAATTTCAATATCGCTACCGAACAGAGCTTTCTATTTCCCTACCTAACAGAGCTTTCTATGTCTGCACCTAACAGAGATGTCTATGTCCCTACCTAACAGAGCTTTCTATAACAATAACAGAGCTTGAACTATCAGCTCCACTCCCTATCTTTTCTCTACCATGAGTGATAGAAAATGGCTGACAGCAGGGCGGGCTGGCTGACTGCTGGGAGGGCTGCCTGACGGCTGGGCAGGCTGGCTGAAGGCTGGCCGGGCTCTCTCACGGCCGAGCTAAGTGGCTGGCTGATGGCAGGGCGGGCGGCTGGGCCGGCTCTGATGGCAAGGCGTGCTGATGGCAAGGCATGCTGATGGCAAGGCGGGCTGACAGCAGGGCTAGCTTAAGATCGCGCTTCTGACTTTCCGGGAACAGCAGGTAGCAGCGGCCATCTTGGATGTGGCAAAATGCAGCGGAACACCAATTTTGTTCAGGGGAGGGTGCCGGGGGGGAGAGGAGAGTAGGTCCCCCCCCTCATTGTTATGTAGGGCCCCACCCACCGCTCAGTATGTCCCCCCCATCATTCTTATTTAGGGTCCCCCCTCGTTGTTATTTAGGGCCCCCACCCACCGCACAGGGGTGGGGACTGGGGAGGGGAGGACAGTAGGTCCCACCCCTCTCATTGTTATTTAGGGCCCCACCCACCGCTCAGTAGGTCCCCCCATCATTCTTATTTAGGGTCCCCCCCCCTCGTTGTTATTTAGGGCTCCCACCCACCACACAGGGGTGGGGGCCGGGGGGTGGGAGGACAGTAGGTCCCACCCCTCTCATTGTTATTTAGGGCCCCCACCCACTGCGCAGGGTTGGGGGCCGGGGGTAGGACAATAGGTCCCTCCCCCCCTCATTTTACTTTAGTGCCCCCAGTCGACGTTCAGGGGTGGTGGCTAATAGGTTTTTATTTTTTTTTACAGTGAGCAGCCACTGATTATCATGCCGGGAGAGGCCTGGTGCTGTTCCAGAGTAAGATGTCAAACTGTTTTAGAATGGTTTGACAATTTACCTAGGCCCCAGGGTGTGCAAGCCTTTCTGGCTGGTTTGGCATTCTCTGTAGACAGTGCTGGACTTCACTTATTGGCTGAGATCACTCAGTTAGTGATGTCCCGAACGGTTCGCTGGCGAATAGTTCCCGGCAAACATTGCTTGTTTGTGTTCGCCACAGACGGCGAACATATGCGCTGTTCGGTCCGCCCCCTATTCATCATCATTGAGTAAACTTTGACCCTGTACCTCACAGTCAGCAGACACATTCCAGCCAATAAGCAGCAGACCCTCCCTCCCAGACCCTCCCACCTGGACAGCATTCATTTTACATTCATTGTGAAGCTGCATTCTTAGTGAGAGGTGGGACAGTGTAGCTACTGCTGATTTGATAGGGAAATTGATAGCTAGGCAAGTGTATTCAGTGTCCACTACAGTCCGGAAGGACTCATCTGATCTCTCTGACCTCACTACCCCCCACACCACCCCCAGCCTCACTACCCCACACACCACCCTCAGCCTCACCACCCCCAGCCTCACTACTCCCCACACCACCC